CCCTAAGGCATGCTCTATAATGTAGGCAGGTGGACTGCCTGTGCTAACATTCTGGCTTGACTACTTACCCGCTACGCAACTTGGGGAAATATGCTTTGCTTTACTTCAGCTTCATTCTCAAGGGGCAAATTACCTACCTCAAAGGATCGTTATGAGGATCCAGTGAAATATTTTAGGCAAGTAACTTAGGAAAGGCCTGATGCTTAGCAAGTGTGCAATAAAAGGTGACTCCTATGACTCTTATCTACCACTGCAATTACTCTACTATTCCTATTAGTACAACCACTGCTGCTGCCACCACTATATTACTAGGCAATGTGAGAAGATTGAAAAAAAAAAAGACAAATTTTACTCTCAAGGAGACTTCTGTTTACAGCTTTTAAAAATACTTTCCCTCACCTTCCTAGCCATAGTCCTTTGTTTATCATGGAAATGCAATCACTTGTCAACGGAAATTGGTGAATGTTATCAAGGTAAGAGAGTACGGGGAGGGGATGCTCTTCAGATTCTTGGTTCTAGAAACAGTCATGGGGTTCCTTGGGTTGAAATTTGAGCAGCTTGTCTGAAGGCAAAAGTCCCTGTTTTCTAGTATTTCATTTGTACTTGGACTTGGTGACACACTGAAAACAATGGAAGAGATAAGGAGCTGGCTGTATCTGAGGAATAACTGGTCACGGTGGGAGAGACTGAGAGTTGTCTACCAATATCGATTTGTCCTTTCTTTTTTATTAAAACTCCTGGGACATGGCCGGGCACTCTGTTTTTTCAGCTAAAGACTTTATTTCCCAGATTCACGTGCAGCTAGCTGTGCCCTTAGACTAAGTTCTTGACCATAGAATGGCAACAGAAGTGGTGTGTGCCACTTTCAGGTCACACCCTTAAAAGAAATGGGTAACGCACACTTCCTTTCCTTTCTTTCTTCTTACTACCTGGGACGTAGGTGTGACAGAGGGTGCTGGAGCAGCTGTTTTAGACCCAGAGATGGAGGGTTCATAATGAGGATAGAGGGGTTGCCCTACCAATCCAGGATCACCTATCCCTGGACTTTGTATGTGAGACAGCAATAAACTTCTGTCTTGTATTGGCCACTAGACTTTGGGATCTCTTAGCCTGTAACAAATACAGCTAAATTAACTCAATAAAAAGGGCACTCTACTCAACTACTTCATAAATTAAGACAATTTTGAACACTTTGAATGTAATGAATATATTTTCAGAAAGGAAATACATCAGCCTTTGAGGTTGATTAATTTAAATTCAAGAGACCACATTAAGTTTTGAACTTCAAAGCATTTTTCAAGTCTTTTTCTTATCCTGATGGAGGGCCAGCTCTCACGATCAGAAGTGACTCACAGTTATATTTGCAATGTTATCAATTATCAGAGCTCTTTTAGGTTTGTGATTAGATACTATTTCGAATAGTTAGAATTCAAACAAGTACCAACGTGACTATCTACATAGCCTACATTTAGGGTTTTAACATATTCAGTCCATGGATAGAGTGACGTAGACACCAAAGTAAAATAGACTAAAAATTTAGGATAAAAGATAATCATATTAAATACCAGCAAGAGGTCACATCAGGGAATGACATGCTCAAGATTTGCAAGTCTGAATTATTTAATGTGAGCATTTACTGTTTTTATATTTAAAATAATCTTTCAAAAAAAAATTACACATGAATGTTGTGATTGGTTATTTACAAGTTTATAATTATCCCATACTTTAGAGGTAGTTTGCTGCTCCATCAGAGTGAGTCCAAGCATCCTTAGATAGTAAGTATTTTGAAATATGTTAAACAAAAATTAGTCAGTACACTTGGGAATTAGTGTGTTAATGGCAATTGCAAGAAGCAGGCTCATCTTATAATGTTGAATCCAAAAGAAGGTTAGTGACTCTCTGCAGAAAGGGGATTAAAAATGAGTCTTCTCTTCAGTGCGTCGTGGCCAAAGGGTGATTTCATCTTATAGACGGTGATTATGATTCATCACGGAATATCTAAAGTGAGGGGAGCCTGCCCTCAGGCTAGCTGTATAAAAATGCCTGTAAGGACATCCTGTGGTCTGTGCTTTCCTTCTGTAAACATTTGCTATGAGGTTTTGGCTCTAGACCCACGGTGCCAGAGGAAATGGGTACCCTCTCTCTGGGCCAGGTTTGTCTGGTATTGTTATACCTGACATTCTAGCCTGCTGTTAAGTCTCTTAAGAGTTTTTTTGGCATGGCTCAATGCCTGTATATCCTTTTATCTTTAGGTCAATGAATACAACAAAGTTTCTGAATCTTTAGAGCTGGGACCAGACTATTGACTTCAGTAAAAACCATCCACTGAGATTTGGTCTGAAATAGCTCTCCTTGGGTTTTTATTGTCACATGTAATTTTATGCTAATTTTATGTATGGAAAGCACTATTCTTAATTATTTAAACAGTTCTCAATTTTAAATTGGACATACAAGGAAAGGAAAGGTTATATTGATCTTAAAAATAAATGATTATCTCACTACACGCCAATTAGCCTGGGGGAAAACACTGATAATTCTAAATTCAAGAATGCGGAGAAAGTGGATCTCTCATATATTGGTGGAAATGCAAAATGGGGCGATTACTCTGGAAAAAAGTCTGGCAGTTTCTTATAAAATTAAACATATAAAGTTAAATATAAAATTATCATACAGCCTAGCAATTGCACTATTGGGCATTTATCTTAGAGAAATAAAAACTTATGCTCACGCAAAAACCTGTACACAAATGTTCTTAGCAGCTTTATTTATAATAGCCCTAATTGGAAACAACCCAAATACCCTTCAAAAGTGAATGGATAAACAAACTGAGGTAAATCTACGTAATGGAAAATACAAGGGAATCAATTACTGACACACACATCAGCTTGGATGGATCTTAAGGCATTATGCTAAGTGAAAAAAGCCAACCTCCAAAGGCTACATACTGTATGATTTCATGTGTATCACATTCTTAAAGCAGCAAAATTATAGGGATCAGATCAGCAGAGAACAGATCAATAGTTGCTAGGGGTTAGGGATGGGGATGGAAGGAAGGTGTTTATCATGAAGGAGTTTTGTGGTGATGGAATTGTTGACACAAATAATCCATAGTCAATCTATAAATCAAAATTGGGGTGAGTTTATTTTTTTTTATTTTTTAATTTTTTAATTTTTTTCTTTTCTTACTAGATGTTTCCTGCATGGTTTGTCTCCTCAGTCATTGTCCATAGGACTCTGAGAAGCTGTAGGAACATGCAGGCGCAGACTCAAGGCCCGGCTTCATCTCCAACATTGTGGAAAAGGACTGTACATCATGGGGCAGCACTGGGGTGAGTTTATTATGAGCCAAATTTGAGGACCATATAGCCTGGGGCCTTACTTCCCCAAGGAAGGAAGGGCACCAAAGAAGAGGGGTGTACAGAGCAGTTATATACCGCCAAAGAGCATGTATCACATATGATTGCAATGTCCCTTTTACAATAGCCATGAGATTGACCTGTCGGCACAGTGATTGATGGACACAGCAGGTATCAGGTCTGCCATCTTGAGTTGGGTGGTCACAGGATGACCTCAGCAATCAAATCCTAGCCTAGGGAGAAATGCCTGTCTTTAAGGAAATGCCAATGTGGGGGAAGTTACTTTATCTTAAGGGCATTTGTTCTTGTCTTTGGGACATGGTAAATAAATGCTTAAAGCAGACATACAATGCATGTTCAAAGGCCATGTTAGGCCCTTTTGGAAAAACAAGGTCAGGCTGAATTAGTTTTACACCAAATGTCTTCCTAATATGTTCCAAGATACCCTATTGCTTGCCATTTATTTATCAGAATCTATACATGTGATAAAATTTCATAGAACCATACAAAACAATGAGTATATGTGAAAACTAGTGAAATTTGAATCAAGTCTATAGTCCAGTTAACAGAATTCCTGGTTTTGATAATGCACTATAGTTACATAAGATGTTACTTTTAGGGGAAGCTGGCTAAAGGGTTCATAGGACTTCTCCATACTCTTGTTGCAACTTCTTGTGAGTCTATAATTATTTCAAAATAAAAACTTTAAAAATAATGATCACATTAACTCACCAACTATGACAGTTCATTTTTTATCTCCTTATTTTATGGGGGGTAATTCAAGGAAGGGAGAGCATGCCAAACTGCTCTAATCAGAACTGTTCTGCTGTTACCTGTTTATTCCTCTGGGAAGATTTCTTATGAAGAGAGAGTTCCTGGGATAAAGTTTGAAAACCACTTCTAAAAGGTTATAGAAATTTCTTGAGACAAAAATCAAATAGTGTGCAATAATGTAGTTTTTAATTAAGAAAAGTAGATGTGCTTTAGAAGGCAATTTTGTTATTATTTATTGTAACAAAGGGTTATAGCTTTCAAGGGAAGTGATTACAAATAGCCACATATTTTAGACATGAAATCAGAATTGGTTTGTTATGAAATTACAGATGCTGATGTTAACCATAGCTAACAAGCCACTTGTTGCATTGCCGGGAAATGAAATTGTTGGTAAATCTTCCTAGAAGTCATTTAAAACTAGCAGTTAGCTGGTCGAGCAGTGATTTCTCAATTTGAGATCCAGTTAGGCAAGGCAAGACGGCTATAAAACTGCTCAGCTAGGCCTAACATAGGATTTGTTGCCAATATAAACTGCATCTCTCAACATTCAAAAAATCTTTATTTGCTTGTGTGAAATCTTGCTCCCATTCAGATATTTTGGATGGCAGAGCAGTTTGAGGTGGTTGTCAACTGCCCCATGTAGAAATGTTTCTTGCAGCACCTGTGGAGGCAAAGCTTTCCAGGCAGGATCTGCCCAGCTGCGGTTGGACCCTTCACTCTCTATGCCCAACATATCTGCCCAGAGCTCCAGTAAGTCTCTTCTTCCGGTGACCCATGCCTGATTATGGCTGTGGTGCTTAGACAGGGCCTCTGAGTAATTATAGAGTCGGCCTTGTGGTTGTCTTCCAGGAAATGGCAAGTACCACTTGCCCCGGTGTGTCCCGGCAGACTTCCCTCGGAGACAACAGGAAACGAATGCCATGTAAGGGCATCCTGCGGCAGCTGCTGCTTTTCTGTGGACAGCTGGAAGGTAGACGTGTTCTCTTTCACCATCTCCGTTTCCCCTTCTTAAATCAATTTGAAGACTTATCATTAAGAAAAATTTGTGCATATACAGTGATCTTCAAAAGGACCTCATAAACTTTCACACCAGAATTTTGAATACTTGCTTTCGACCTTCTTATATTTACAATCACCCTGAGAATGTTTTTGCAGCTAACTTCTTCAACGCTATTATCTTACTGCCAAGTCTCTAAGAAAGTTTTTCAACAAGTTTCTCTGTTTTTGTCATCTATTTGAGAGAACAGTAGCTTTATTAGCTTGTGGCCAAAAATAGATTTTAAAAATATAACTTAATTTCCAGAATTAAACTTGTCAGTTGCAGAAACTCAACTCTTTTCTGAACTGTTAGATTTGGATGTGTTAAGGTGAACTTGGAGGGGAGGAGAGGAAGTATGTTGTTTGGTGGGGAGACAAGTCAGACAGGATCTTCTCAGGTGTCCTCACTGTCTGTTGTTCCTGGCCGCTTGCCCCATTTTCCTACCACGAGAAGAATTTTATAGGGAGTTGTAATGTGAAAGGAGACAATAGCAGGAAAAGCCTTGGAAGGCCGTGGAATATTACGTGGCCATTACAAACAATGAATTAGAGCTAGACCAAATGATTTTCAGGAACTTCCACAAATTATTGTCGAACGAAGAAAACAAGATGCAGAAGAGTGTGATGCTATATGGAGCACTCAGCATTGGTCATTCTTGCTTGCAGGTTGTCCCTTTGGCAGGGGCAGTAGCTAAACCAGCCCTGGTGAATGGGAGCATATGTTGGGCACATGTGTAGCCTCTCTCCCTGACACAAAGCTGCTTTATCTGCTTGCCCATTGTGCTAGCAGCGGGTAGCTGGTGGTAGAGGATGACAGATGTTAACTGGCCTTGTCACGTTTGTCTACCTGGTTGTTTGGTGCCCCTGCCATGTTGGTGCTCTTGGTTGGTGCTCATGTATTATGAAGCTCTTCAAACTTCATGCTCATTCTCCAATATTCAACTATATGCTTGTTTCCCAGACTTCCTTTTTCCTAATATTCCAATTTTTCTCCTTTTAGGCCTCTGCAGTGAGTTGAACAGTGTCTCCCCCAAATTCGTGTCTACCTGGAGCCTCAGAATGTGACCTTATTTGGAAATAGTGTCATTATAGAAGTAATGAGTTAAAAATCTTGAGATGAAATCACCCTGGATTTAGGGTGACCCATAAGTCCAATGACTGGTGCTCTTATAAGAAGAGGAGAGGACACCGAGAGATACACAGAGAAGAAGACAGTGTGACCATAGAGGCAGGGATTGGAGTGATGAATCTACAGGCCAAGGAATGCCAGGGATTGCTGGTAGTTACCAGAAGCTAGGAAAGAGGCTTGGGATGGTTTCTTCCTCAGAGCCTCTAGAAGAACCAACCCTGATGGCACCTTGATTTCAGACTTCTGATCACCTTGAACTATGAGGGAATAAATCTCAGCCACCCTGGGCTGGCCCCATGGCTTAGTGGTTAAGTGCGTGTCCTCCACTACTGGCGGCCCGGGTTCAGATCCTGGGCACGCACTGATGCACCGCTTCTCCAGCCATGCTGAGGGCGCGTCCCACATACAGCAACTAGAAGGATGTGCAACTATGACATCAACTATCTACTGGGGCTTTGGGGAAAAAAAGGAGGAGGATTGGCAATAGATGTTAGCTCACAGTCGGTCTTCCTCAGCAAAAAGAGGAGGATTAGCACGGATGTTAGCTCAGGGCTGATCTCCCTCACCAGAAAAAAAAAAAGATTAAACATCACTTAAAAAAAAAAAAAAAAAAAAACTCAGCCACCCAATTTGCGGCAATTTGTATGGCAGCTGTAGGAAACGAGCACACACCCTGACCAGCTGGCCAGGAATTTGCCACCATCCGTGAGTCCATATATGTTCTAACCTTGAGCCACTTTTCTCTTCTCACAAAGTGGATGATCAGGTACACAGCCTGAAGCTCTGCCTATCGGAGGGATTTCCCTTCTCACTGTCTTTGAAGGCTACGCCTTGAACATCTATAGTAGAAGATTTCTCTTATACAATATATTTGATATATTAACCTAAAAATTTCTGTATATTGAAAGATATCTTTAAGAAAGTGAACAAATAAACAGAGACAAAATATTTGCATCACCCTGGCAAAGAATTGATAGCAAGAATATATAAAGGATATCTACAAGCTAATTAGAAGACCACAATGATATAGCATTTAAAACCCAATTGATTGGCAAATTGAAGAAGTTTAACACCATCAAATATTGGAGAGGAAGTGGATCAACAGAGTAGCTTACACTTTGCTGGTGAGAGTATAAATTTGTTCAACTACTTTGGAAACAATTTGGCATTATCTTTTAAAGTTGCAGATTCATATACCTTATAATGAGTAATTCCACTCTTAGATATATACTCAAAAGAAATTCTTGCACATATACTTTAAGAGACGTACACAAGAGTGTTCATACAAGCATCCCTGTTTGAAATAGCAAAAACTTAGGAAAAATCCACTTATCCAAAGACAGGAGAACAGATCAATTGTGGTACATTCATACAATGAAATATTTTACTGCAAAAAAAGGTGAAAGTAAATGTATCCTAGAGGGGCCAGCCCCGTGGCCTAGTGGTTAAGTTCGGCACGCTCCATTTGGCAGCCCGGGTTTGGTACCGGGTCGCAAACCTACACCACTCTTCGGTGGCCATGCTGTGGCAGTGACCCACATACAAAATAGAGGAAGTTTGGCACAGATGTTAGCTCAGGGCAAATCTTCCTCAGCAAAAAAAGAAAAAAAATGTATCCTAGAAACATAACTTACATAAAAAGTAAACCTCCAAAGATTAGATATACCATAATAACCACCTTTTAAAAAAAAGTTACAAACAACTAAGCTACCCAACATACTTTTAAGAAATATTTATACTGTGGTAAAACTGTAGTTCTAAAGGGCAAAGGGAATAAGAGTAGAAGTTGCAGGGTAGTGGTCATGTCCAGTGGAGAGAGGTGGGTACAGGACGAGGAGGAGAATGCAGGTAGCTGTTAGAATTATGAATGTTCTCATTTTCATGCTGGGTGGTGCAAACAAAGGTATTTATTGCTCAACAAAAAATATGCAAGTATGTAAATAAATAAATAAAGGCCATGCCTGGACCAAAGGTGAGACTGTGTCATGGACCAAGGATTATGATCAATCAAATTTTAGGTACCCAGTATTGGAAACACAACAATTGGACTTTTTGTGTGTGTGTGTGAGGAAGATCAGCCCTGAGCTAACATCCCTGCCAATCCTCCTCTCTTTGCCGCAGAAGACTGGCCCTGAGCTAACAGCAGTACCTCCACTTCATGTGGGACACCACCGCAGCATGGCCTGACAAGCAGTGCGCCTGTGCAAACCCGGGATCTGAACCCGGTTCGCCAGCAGCAGAGCGCCTGAACGTAACGGCTACGCCACGGGGCCGACCAGCCCACAACTGGCCTTTTGATTGTAGAGATGTGTCTGGTTGAATCAGCATTGGGAGCAAGAAGAGCCCTGGACTTGGGACAGGAGGAGAGACAGGGTGGGGTCTCAAAGAGAAGGGTTTGAAAAAGTCCCCAAGGAGGTCACAGACATGGCCTAAGGAGAAAGGCTTGTGAGAAATTCCCGGGGGAGGGGGGGGCGGCCAGGAGCTTGGACAACAGATGTTTAGGGGTCCGTTTTAGGTTGTTTCCTGTTCTAAGCTCTGCTGTAAGAAACCTCCATTATCCAAAGCCCACAGTAAAAGTCTGCTACATAGCGAAAATAAATAATAATAATAAAAGTCGTCATTCAATCACTCGTTCGTTACATGTTTATTGAGTTCTTACCGCATGCAGTGCAGCCGTATGAATATCACAGCAAACCTAGCAGACCAAGACTCTGTCCTCATGGAGTCAATGCGTGACACATGCTAGGGCAAAAAAATGAAGCAAAGTAAAGGAGAGGGAGAGCCAGGAGGGGGGTGGTTTATATTAGTGGTATTCGGGTGGATGAAGAAAAAGCGAGCACAGGGATGGCGACTGGTACAGCGGAGTGAGAACTCAGGAACAGAGACAGTGAGTGGAGAGTCAGAATTCTGCAGAAGCAGGAATTCGCAGTGACAGGAGTCTAGTCCCCTTTACAGTAAATTATAGGAACATTGGGGAAGGCTCTGGATTCCCCATCCTATGCAGAATGTGGTTTCCATCACTTAGTTTGTAAATTAAAAGAAAAGTTAATTCCAAAGGTTGAAGAACTTGGGGCCACTATTATACTTTCAACACTTCAACTATCAAGTTGTTTCTCTACCTTCTTTTGTTATCAGTGGTTCCTAATCTAGAGGAGCAGTACAGGGGAGCGTGGGCATTTGTGCTTTGAAAAGTTTCCCTAAATTATTCTGCCTCCTGACAGTGCCCTCCCCTAATCCCACCTACCTCCATTGGGGAATATTTCTTACATACGAGAGTGAGTCCTAGTTTGGTGATCCTAGCGTAGCTCAATCAATCTCAGGTTATAAAATTTTTACAAAATAAATAAAATTATTGATAAAATACTTAATTAAAAAAAAACCTAACAGAACATTTGTTTAAAAAGAGTAGTATTGTTAATGAAAAGCTAGGATCCTCAACGCCTCAACTTGATCATTGTGTTGAGTCTGTTTTAAAAATCATTTTTGGATCCTTTTTAATAATAGCCTATTTTTCCTGACATTGTTTGTTTCCAGTATATGGGAACTAAAACTGGACAAAACAGCTAGATGAATGTTGAATTAGCATAAAAATCTCTTCTTTGATCTTTCTGTGTGTGTGTTTGAAGTTAATTTACTGAATGCTTACTACAAGCCAGGAACTATTTTAAGCTTTTTGGATGTTTATTTCATTTAATGTTCACAATATGCCCGTGAGTTATATTCATTAATATCCCCACTTACAAATTGGGAAACTAAGGCACGGGTTCACACAGCTAGTAAGTGCAGGGCTGGATTGTCACCAAGGCAGCCTGATTCCTAAGCCCGT